GATCAAAATTTGTTACATGTTAGCAGTTAATACCCATAAAAGTAGAATACCCCCTCTTTAATGATATTTAATTGCACATTGCGATTAGATTTTTATGTTCAATAACTATAAACATGACTTTTAACATTCATTTAACAACAAAAACCTGAAAATTTATTAGTGCATGCAATTGAACACAAAATGTATTCCTCCAAAGTCCAAACTCTGCTTCGAACCAATTACTTTTACTGGCTGTAAACTTCTCTATTAAACCCCCCAACCTCATCATTGCCCATTTGAAATTATTACTCCTCGATATTATTACATTTTGATTGATTACACAGTCCTAGCGCAGACTTTAGCCATGTTAAAATGGATAAAATGTCAAACAGGGATCAAATTGGATGAGACCATTCAATTCCACTGTCTATATTGGCTTATGTGGCTGACTGAGTGAGTAGACAAAACAAAAAACTACGCACATGTGGCTCACTGGCTGCACTTCAGTCAGTATCTTGTAGGTAAGAGCCAACCGCCGGCTTCATATGAGTCTTGCAAACTCCTAAAGCTGTTGACGACAGGCTCCTTCATCACATTGCGGGGTCAGCTGCTTGTCTCCTGTTAGCTTACATAGCCCTGACAGCACAAAGAGGATTCCTTGTCAACACAGATCTAGACTTGTTAGAAGGTTTGATAAGTGAGTGTGAAGACTTTCCTGTTTGGTAAATTTCAGCGCAGGCAAGGTTATAGGTTCAATGCCTCTTCAAGAAATGTTCATAAGTATCAATATTAAAGAGGGTGTACCCAATTTGTTTCATGTAATAAGTTCAGTTCAATTCAAGTTTATTTATACAGCACATTTAAATCAACTTCAGCTGACCAAAGTGCTTCACATAAAAGTCAGCAAAACCAGAAGAAACAGTTACATAGACACAGATAAGAAAACTACAATACAAACACCAAGATGTCCTGACTAGCTTGTACTAAATGCCAGGGAGAAGAGGTGAGTCTTCGGTCTAGTCTTAAACGGCGTTACAGACTGAGAGGATCTGACAGGAAGAGGAAAGCTGTTCCACAGTCTGGGCACTGCCACAGAAAAGGCTGTCACCTCTTGTCTTGAGCCTAGTTTTGGGTACAACTAACAGGAGCTGGTCAGCAGATCTCAGGGGTCTGGGCGGAGTGTAGGGCTGCAGTAATTCCCTCAAACAGACTGGACCCATAGAGTGCGAAGATTTAAAAACAATAACATTTTAAATTGCATGAGTGAAAAATCCCTCAGTTGTCCATGTGGAATCCATGGCAAAAGGAGAAATTAAATTTGTCAACTGGACAAAAGCTCATCCAAGCTGCTTCTTCTTCCTTATATCTGCCTGAAGGGAGAAGCTAACAACAGCGAAACTACTCTGGAACTAACCCACCTACTTGTTTACAGTTTGAGTGCAGTTCAATAGGCCTAAATAACAAATTAACTAACAGCAAATGTAAACAAGTAGGTGTGTTAGTAAAGGATAAAATGATTCCGTTGTAGGGAGTATTATACCTCTGATAATGCACACTGAGATACCAAGGACTGAACTGGAAGTGAGTGTCCTTAATATACTACAGAGATCAAATTTCTCTAACAATAATGGACAAATCAAGTTCAAGATTGATAATATACCCCAACCCCATGAACGTAATAACAAAGCATGAGCTATATATAATTTTTTGTCCATGATACATCAAGATTTCCTTCATTCACTTGCTTTATTAAGGCTGTAAATAGCAAATAGTGTGGTGAATATAAAGTGTGACCATTGTTACTACCGTCTCCAGGTAGTAACAAGGTCTTAAGACTCACTTTTATTCTCTGGCTTTTAACACCGCGTGAGTTGTGTGGTCCTCTGTGTTTTTTATTTATTTTTATGTGTTTTTATTGGTTTTATTGATTTAATTTATTGATTGGTTTATTTATTTCTTTTCTATGATTTTGTACTTACTTTATTTTACTGGTTTTATTATTTTAAGACTAGTATTATTTTAGTAGTTTACTTTATCATTTTATTATTGTTGTTTTTTATTATGTATTTGTGCAGCACTTTGGAAACTGTTTGGTTGTGAAATGTGCTATAGAAATAAAGTGGATTGGATTGGATGTCTCTGTGCGGAGTGGGTGGGCTCACAACATCAGCCACAGAAACTGTAAATAAGTAGGTGTGTTAGTTACAGAGTAGTTCTCTTCAGGCAAATATTAGAAAGTATCCACCAGCATTTCGACCAGAACTGAAGAAGCAGCTTGGATGAGCTACGAAACATATTTGACCAAATACACTTTTCTCCAGTTGACAAATTGAATTTCTCCTTTTGCCATTTTAAATTGCACCCCATATAAGACAGGGAGCCATTGCAGGGTTCCCAACACCAGTGTAATGTGTTCTCATCTTTTACTATTATAATATTGTAAAATATATTGTTAAAAGAAGATCTCCAGGGTCAGTATGAAAGACCTGTCTGCTGTCTGCACCTAATTACAAGGTCGTTTTATTGTCTGTGAATCAGGAAGTAATGTTGTTAGCATGCTAGTTGTTGCTGGCATCATAATGGAGAAAAACTGCAGTGTGCTGGTGTCTGAAAGTTGTGAAAAACTCTTACAGACTCATTCCTGTGAACACTTCGGATGCTAGGAATGCGCCAAGAAAATGAAAAATCTATTTGGACAGCTCCAAACCTTTAAAAAATAAGACCGTAAAAATTTGGTAAAAAGAATGATACTTTAAATGTGCACTGTGTAACATTTCTGGTAGAGAGTTCGCCAAAGTATAACATTAAACGTTTCAATCTCTACAGAAATAAGCGGGAGATGCCATCAGGCCAATTTACAGGAAAGATCTGCGAAGAGGCGAGCCCCACAATGAGCAATAAAAACATCCATAACTGAATAAATTAATCTTATATACATTTATCATATTGTGGAACATTACAGGCAAAGCAATAGCATCTCCATGGCGATGTTTTAGACCCATACTTGTTGCTATTGACAACCAATGCAATGTAAATGCACTATAAGTCTACAGAAGTGACTTTGAATCCTCCTAATATAGTATTGCCTGTTGAAATACACATTGCTTGTATTACGATCTGTCTTTTGCACTATGCCACAAATATATGAAGGACTTTTTGAATACAAATGCAGGGTTAAAGACAGAATGAAATCGCTGAGGGCCAGTCATGTACTTTGTTGACACACACATGACCGAATAGAGCGCCTTATGCTATGATTTTTTATTGGGAGAATGGGGCTTATCTGCTCTCCTCAAGCTATAACATGCTCTACTTAAGCTCTCATTGACAAAGGCTTGTTTTTCCTCCGCACGGCTTACCCTATGGTTAGACCTGATTTATGGTTAGCATGACTGTGCCTCTGTGTAAATACAGCTATGAGAAAAAACACACAACGTGGAGGAGAAAATCAAGGCTTTTAACATAAAAAACGCTGTGGGTTATGAAGTTTCCACAGCATGGGCAACAGGAGGAATGGTGAGGTTGCTCTTTAATTTTAAAATGTCTTATTCCATAGGGTTAATTGAAAGAGTGTTGGTGTGATGTTGACAAAAAGGAATTTAATATGTGTAGCAATGGGCAAAGAAAGAAACTCAAACATAGCAAAAGTTACATTAAAATTGCCTGGGCCTTCAACTTGACATTTTAAAGGTCCTATATTACGCCAAATTGACTCTTTTAAGCTTTAAGCCATGTCAGAATGTCGTTACCTCGTCAAGGACATACCTGGAGTTGTGTGTTGTTTCATTCATGTTTGAGTACCGTATTTTTTGGACTATAAGTCACACTTTTTTTCATGGTTTGGGTGGTCCTGCGACTTACACTCCGATGCGACTTATATTTGAAAGTTTTCACACTGACAGCCTCGAGAGGGCGCTCTAGGCTTCTGTACTCCTGTACCACTGTCATGTTGGTTGCAGAAGAAATAGAAGAGAGCCGCAGTCCTGTCTCTATCATATCACTCAATCACACCATTACTTCTGTATCACTGACAGTTTAAAATGTAAATAAACAGAAAGACAACTAAAACCATCCTGTCGGGATTCAGAAAGGCCGGAATAATTCTAACTGGAACTGATGCTGAGTCTGACGACAGCTACACAGAAGAGGAAGCGACACTCTGTTCACCTTTGGAGGTCGCGGAGTTGCTCAGAAGTGACACCGAGGATGAAGAATTCAATAGATTTAGTGATTTGGAGTGAGATGGAGAGTTTGGTAAACTTGTTCTGTTCTGTTGTTTATGCTATAGTTATTTAAAGAACTGTTCAGATGTGACGTTAACAGCCTGTTGTTCTGTTTTATTGTTCTTACTATACTTGCCTTTCAAGATGAAATGTCAGTTCCTGGTCTCTGATTTTATAAAATAAATTTCCCCCAAAAAGTGCGACTTATATATGTCTTTTTCTTCTTCATTACACATTTTTGGGTGCAGCAATTTATACTCCGGAGCGACTTATAGTCCAGAAAATACTATTATTCTGTCTATAGCTCCAAAGCTCAAAATGCCCTGCTCCACCAATTCCCAGGGCTGAAATTATCCAAATTGTTCCACTGAAGGTGTAGAACTCAGTTTTTATATGCAGTTTATGTGTTAAACATTTGTAACACAATTCCAGGTACATTTTTGTGAAAACAACATTATAGCATAGATCAGAAAATATGAAATGGGCCCTTAAAAATGTGCAACTGAATAGTAGAAATTATTCCAGATTATTTAATTGTTTACTTTTACAATATTGTTTACCTCAATTCCATAGTGTGACATCTAAATATGGGCTAAGTAACACAAGCTACAAGTTAGATCTGTGATGAGGCAAGCCCACTCGTTGTAAGAATGCACGTTTTTCAAGCTATTTTTGAGCATTTCAAACATCACCGATGAAAGACTGTGAAACATTCTTAGCCAAAACAAGCAGATGATAGAACTCTTCTTACCTTCTCAGAGTCGATGTGTCCAATGTTGATGTTTCTTTTGTTCTTACCTTATACATGCCCACCGCAGACAGGGGTCAAAGGTCAGAGCAGATGCTAAGCCTGCGTGGTCTGAACATGGCGGCTGTCACATCTGATCTGCTCTCTCCCTCAGGGCTACACGCTTCAAGTGAGCGACCAACAGGTGCTGGGGCTACCTGAAAATAAAGTGAGAAGATAGTGAGGCAGTAGAAAATGCACACAGATACTGACTATTTTTACTGTAAAATAAGTACGACGCAATGAACTGAAGTAGACACATAAAATAGCGTTATTGGAGAAGATGTATCGTGGAAGAGAAAGATTGTTTTTCAGGTTTGGAAATGACACTAGAGTAGATTGTATTTGCCAGTAACTCAGGGCAAATGAATGCACTAATGAAAAAATAAATGAGTGTGTAATTTAATAAAACAGGTCCCGGTGTGGTTACTGTGCCAATTTCAAGGAGCACAAGAAGTAGCTTTGTAGTAGTGGTAATCAAAAATTAAATTATTTTTTAATCACAAGGGACCAGGTAGAGTGCACTTCCTCTGATATGAAGGTTGGCGATTCAATTCTTCCTTTCAACATAAATATCACTGGCAGAGGAGTAAGATTCAATGGCCCAAGTGCGATTTCCGCTCCAGCAGATGAACGCTGATGTTGCGTCCTTGGGCAAGACACTTAACTCCAATTTTTCCAGCATGGATGTGAGTGGTTCCTTGATGAAAAGTGTTTTGAAGAGTGCCTTGAAAGTAGAAAAGCACTATTTGAATGGGACTATTTCCAATAATAGTGCACTAAAGTATACTTGGAGTTGTATTTTGAAGTTTTGTATGGTACTAGAAAAGTTGGCAGCAAGTATTTGTGGTCATAGATGTTGCCATAGACAGCTGTACCTTCCTTTGCTTTAATACACAGGTACTTTTACTTCAGTGATGTTAATGTGTTATGTCCCTTATTACGGGTTGAAGTAACCATATATAACTGTACCTTCCTCTACATTAATCCAACCCAACTTTATTTGTGTAGCACATTTTTCCAACACAAAGTCTCCAAATAAAATAAAACATAAATAAATAAGAAAGCCAGTAAAATAAATAAATAAATAAATAAATCAGAAAAATAAATAAATAAATACACACAAATAAAAATAATAAAAATACAAATAAAAAATAAAATAATAAAATACAAATAAAATAAAAAAAATAAAAAAAAATAATAATCATAACAAATACAAATTAATATAATAATAATAATAAATAATAAAAAATACAAATAAATAATAATAATACAAGTGGTGGTGGTGGTGGTGGTGATGATGATAAAAATGTAGAAAAATAGCATGTAGAAAAATAGCAAATAAAAAAAACAGGACCACACAATTCTAATGCCGTTTTAAAAGCCACTGAGCAAAAGTGTGTTTTTAAATGATACTTAAAAGAATTGACTGAAGGAGCGGCTTTAATGTGAAGGGGCAGAGCGTTTCAAAGTTTGGGACCAACCACAGAAAAGGCTCGCTCACCACGGCTTTTGAGTCTCATCTTTGGGACGACAAGTTGGAGCTGGCCTTCAGACCTCAGAACCTGCAAAGGAGTGAAGGGGACAAAGAGGTCTGAAATTTACGTTGGGGCCAGTCCAAGAAGTGCTTTAAAAACTAACAATAACATTTTAAATCAAGCTCTAAAATGAATGGGGAGCCAGTGCAAAGAGGATAAAATAGGTGTAATGTGTTCTCTATGACGTGTGCTGGTTAAAAGGCATGCTGCAGCAATTTTGGAGTAACTGTGTAAGCATGTAGAGATAAAAGCCTCGATCACCCACTCCAAATCACTAAAAGATTACACAAAAACCGCATTGTGATACCATTACTTGAGTTTTTCTTCCTCACCTCACAAAAGTTTGGTCCAAAGTTATATTTTCCTGCATGAGCTCATAAAATAGATGACAATTCTTCTCCTAACACCTAATTATACTACAAAACATGCAAACTTAGCAAATGTACAAGACAAGCAATTAAACGTATTTGGGTAGAACGTAAGATCCACCGTGACACTGTGTAAGTCACGCTGCAGGTACCAGTGTGACATGGGAATCTCAAAGGCTTTTTCTAAGGCCTTAATTAAGCACATCTGTCTGGGGTCATGCAAGAGCTCATGGGAAATGTAGTATAATGAAGTTGTAGAAGTTGTTTTGTGATACTTAAAAAAATGTATAAAGAATAAAGCAGAGTCTGAGTGTAACACAAAGTTTCTGTTAGTTTTCGTGCGTAGCGTTTTTAAATTCCACTTTTTTTTTTTTTTCATCAAATCTTTCTGGAAATTTTCTGCAGTTACGTTGAGCCACACATGTTCTGGTAAAAGATCAGACATCACTAACATCTGGCCTTAACTACCATAAGAATGTACTGAAAAGATTTGCAGAATTTGGTTCACAAACTTTTGAAAAATACAAATATACAGTAGGGCTGGGTATCATTAACAGGTTGCCGATATGTACCTCGATACATAGGCCACGATACGATAAATATCTCAATACAGCGGGCTTTCGGTTCAATACGATACATTTCAAAACAATTCGATACGGCTCAATAAAAATAAATGGCTAAATCATGGCTGTGATTCTAAAAGTCTTTGTTAAACCACTTCTTGTACAAAGTGAATATGAAACACAAACATTTTAATCCTCAAAAGAGTCAAAATGTCAACTGTGTCGCATAAACAAGCTTCCTTCCTCTAAACAAGCAACAAAACTGTAGCTCTGTAACAAAATAATTTGGTAAAAAACACCAAAAAATACTCTTGGCGATATATCGATACAGCAGCCCATGATATTGATACTGTACCATTACATTAAATGACACGATATATCGATATTTCAATATTTTTGCACATCCTTAATATACAGTACATGCAGTGGTTTTTCAAAGTACATTTTGAAGTTCTGATCATCCAGTTCTGTAGCAAAACACAGTGTCTCAAAAACTCTTGTGTCCAGTTGAGAGAATTCAACTTTCTTTTGCAATAGAGTAGCAATACCAGTTCTCAAACAGTGGCAATACATCAGTTTCATATGTGTTATATCAAGTTGTCTTTTCAAAAAATGTACCTTTGCGCGTCTTTAAAACAACGCTACCTAACTTTCTGGACTTCACACATCGTCCTGCATTATCCCTTGAAAACAGAAAGTTAAAACCACACTTTAATCTCACACTGTGGAAGATTATAAACTAAATTAACAACATGGAGACGAGCAGAAAGAGGCCATACAAATAAATAAAGTTTGAGCTTTCAACTATTAGAGAATTAAGATAACACGTTCTCTCAACTTATTGTTAATTCACTGAAACTAAAAATGAACAGTGATAGAGCTGAACTGAAAGGCTTTTATTAATTGATTTATTTTTTAAATTTCAAGTTTGTGCCAAGACAGAAACAATAATCATACACATACTAAACATACAGGAGTGGAAAGAAGAAAACAATTTATAATAACCCAACCCTGTATGCACTGACTTGACTTTTAGCAGGTTAAAAGGTTCAGTGAATTCATAATTTAATTGCAAGTTCTGTTAACAATATGCTTGCAAAGTTGGGTTTTTTCCTGTGCATTCAAGCGAAATAAGAATTAAGTTTGTGGCGATGCAAGCCCGCTCACAGCAAGGACACATGTTTTCAAAGTTTTTCAGTAAATGAAATAAAACCAGAGATAAGAAAAAGAAAACATCCTATCATTTACTCTATTTTTTGTGGTTGAGCTTTAATAATAGTAGCACCCGAAATGACACTTTCTGGTCCATTTACTCCGCCGTACACTACTCCAACTTCTCCTTTGTTAGAAGAGCCAGGTCATCCTCAAACCACAGCACTGCCCCTCTGAACATGATCTGTCTGACACACAAGTGCAACAAAAGCGCCAGCAGCCCACTGTCCTTGAAGTATTGTACCTTATCCTACATAGGCATTACTCACTCCATTGATCTATTATTGAACAGAAATCTTATTAACAAGCTTGGGCCATTTGTCATACCGAGTGCCCTTCCCCGTGGCACAAACTTCAGGTGAGTCAATGCTGAGAGATAACCTTGTATTTCAATGTACTATGAGCACCTGTGCCCCTCCCCCCCCCTCCCCCTCCCGCCCCCTCCCTTTGAGATATCTGATACAACTATACCCCCCTCCCCTCCCCTTCACCCACGTCGCCAAAAAGGCCAATATCCGGTTTATTGTCCTTCCGGGACCAGTTTTAATTAAAATCTAGCGCTGTCTTTTGTGTTGCTGACAATGCAGGCTGTGCTATTGTGAGAGGGGAGAGGAGGCCAGGCTTTGTGTGGGCACTTGCTTTATTGACTGGAGATAGGAGGGTCCAGGTAACGCGCTAACCCGTGTGACCACAAGGAGGTGTTACACCACGCGGGGGTCAAATGTAGTGCTGTGTACATGACTTTGTACGCATTTATTTATTTATTTATTTATTATTATTATTATTATTATTATTATTATTATTATTATTATTATTAATAATAATAAATAATAATTTTTTTTTTTTTAAGGTGCACTATGTTACTGTGACTGAAATGTTCCACAATGCACCTTTATTGAGTGAAAAAAATAAAATAAAATCCACCAGCTTGGAGAATGCAAAACGGACTCCGATTTAGTGTTTACTCCAGTTTAACTTAAAAGCACATACATACTTAAATAATAAACATAAAATAAAAATGACAACAAATAAGCATACTAATGAAATAAAAATGAAAATGGCTTAAAAGTTTTGGACTCCAATGCCATATCCCTACAAATTCTCAAAATACTGTTCATTATAACAAAATATTGTCCAATATATATCATTTTTTCCAGTACACATCCAAGGCAACAGTTCCTTTTTGTGTCTTAAAACCATCTTAGTCTTAAAAAAAAAAAAAAAAACATCTTATAGCTTCGCCCTCTGTACATTTGCTCTATACAAAGTTGTAAACAGCTATTTTAGACAACAGTTTGTGCATAGCTGCTGCAGATTGGCCTCTGGAGACACATCGCCTTATGTCTCTATGGTTTGGTAGGTTTCTTTTGCTAAAGGAGCAAGCCACTGTGCAAGCAGAGCATCTGTTTAGAGTTGTTTATGGGGAAGAATTCAGGTCCCTACAACTAGTTCACATTTTGAGTCATTTGTCCTAAAA